TCCCATGCAGGAACCAGTGCGCGGGGTATCCTAACCCACACTCGTGGAAGGTGAGAAAGGACACCACCTTGTCAAGCCGAGGTTGCGGGAACTCCTCCCTCCTAGGAGCCCTCCAGTGCGCCACCTCCTTCGGCGGCAGGAACCCCTTCGCGACGAAGGCCTTCAACACCGACTCCCTCACGGTGGACGACCTCCAGTCCGACATTTCACTCCGGGATCACAAAAGGATTTGTGAATTCTTTTTCTCCCTCGCTCTCCCCGTTTTCTTTCCTAGAAACCGCCGCGGCTCTCAAAAACGCTCTCAGCGAAGAAGGAAAAGAAAAGGAGGTGGCAGATGAGGAATAGGCGAAAGAACAGGGTAAAAACCTTCTCCCTTCTCCTACTTAAGGAAAAAGGTACAACAGTTAGGGTAGGGCGCGCCGATCGGGAAAGACAAAATGGCGGAGCGAAAAACCCTCTCTATTTCCCATTTAATACAGATGAGACGCGCCCTGACCGATGAGACATGCCCTGCCCGACGAAACGGCTCCTGATCAGACGGGATGTGGCCTGGGTATGGCCCACCACTACTGCACACCAACCACTACCACACGCCGGGCACAAGAACCAAAGCGCCACTACACATAGGCCGCTCTCCGCATCCCCAGGCGGGACTTAGAAAAAACTAAAACGAGATCTCCGCCAGGAGAGACCGTCGGGCTTGTTAAAGTTAATCAAACGGCTCAGGAAAAATACCGAGGGATAGGTAAGGAGCAAAGGGACGCCCCATGTAGGCCATGCCAACTACGTCACGAACGACGAGCATGGGTCCTGGTCGGACATTTTCGACTGGAGCTCTTCAAACCCCGTCACTCGAGTCATCAAGGTAACACTACCGACCCCCGCTACTTCTTTATTTAAAGCATTTCATACATCCATACGCGCATTCATTCCATATGCCCAAGCCTCCTGGACAATTTGGGCCCTGAACCGCCTGGGGGCTCGGGAACTAAGCATCGTACATGCAGCGAAATGCATCACCACGCTCCGTGTTGCGTCACGAAGCGACAATTGCCTCATTCAACATGAGCAACGACAGAGCCAAGGGAGAAAAACACAGATGAGCCCCGTGTGGCCCTCGCCCAGTCTGGCAGACAGGGTCATCTCAACCTTCTCATTCGATCCTAAGCCTCTGCCAAGCCCACAAAATCTCCATCGAAGGGGAGGCCATTAGGCCACCTGGGTCGGTCTCTGGAATGACCTAGACATCTGCCGGGTTGCAGGTAAAGGAGCAGTGGAATGTCACAAGAGGGCTATGCCGACCCCATCACAAATGATGGACCCGAATTCCACTCGATCATACCCATTAGCGAACTCACCGAGCGCGTCACTCGAGCTCGAGTGATCGGGACAAGCGACAAAACTCAGCCCCTCCGGTTATGAGGAACCGAGGACGAGGTAACGCACACAACTCAAACCGACCCCTACTAAAGCCCAACGGGGCACGGGGGCTCAAGACACAAAACGCCAGGGTCTGTGACCCCGAACTCGTCCCATCCGCCTACGCTTCGACTGCACTCAAAAAATACCTGGGTCTGCGACCCCGAACTCGCCCCATCCAGGCTACGCTTTGACTGCACTCCAAAAAAACACGGGTCTATGATCCCAAACTCGCCCCATCCGGCTATGCTTCGATTGCACTCCAAAAATACCTGGGTCTGTACCCCGAACTCGCCCCGTCAGGATCTACGGGCTCTGGCTCGCCCAATCCCCAAACTAACTAAACTAACTGCCTTAGTTGCGCGGACCGCACCGAGGCCAGGATCCACGACTCCGACTCGCTCGATCCCACGGCGCGCACCGACACCGGGATCCGAGAGCTCTGTCTCGTCCGATCCCTAAAAAGACTAATTGCCTCGCCCGATCCCACGGCGCGTATCGACACCAGGATCCACGAGCTCCGTCTCACCCGATCCCTAAAAACAACTAACCGCCTTGGCCGCACAACGACGCCTTGGTCAAACAACTCCGTCTCAACTAAAAAACACGCATGCACGCCCACTAACGAACACCCCCAGATGGTTCTGCCCGAACCGCCCGGGGGCTACACCCGCGGGTGCGCTCGCGCGCACCTGCCGACGAAACAAAAACCTCCCCCGCTGGCAACACGAAAAACCCTCCAGATGGTTTTGCCTGAACCGCCCGGGGGCTCAGGGGCTACACCCGTGGGTGCGCTCGCGCGCACCCGCCATCAAGGCAAAAATCCCCCAAATGATTCTACCCAAATCGCCCCGGGGCTCGGGGGCTCCTGTCGGGTTCAGTAACCCCGGGTCCCTCGAGGACCGGCTTCCCTGCAACGGCTCAGCCCAAGTAGACAGTGAGCAACTCATGGGCCGACCCAAGTATCTGAACAACAGGCCAGAAGGGCGATCCAATCACTGACCGGAAGGTCTGGTCGGGGAGGAGTGACACTTGTTTTCTGACTTCGGCCCACCTCTCCGACCGGAACGCTCACTCCGACTCTAGCCGCCTCCGAACAGCCTCTCCGACCGGAAGGCCTGGCCAAAGCACTACTTCCGACTCCGACCCCACGTCTCCGACCAGGGTATGCAAAAACCCTGCTCACTGCTCTTCTCCGACTAGCGCAACTAGAGACGACTAGGACCATCCGACCGGGGACGCCCGCCTGGAAAGGACCAGGGAACGAATGGAGAAAAGTAAGGCAAGGTGCACGAGTCAAACCACGATACCAGGGACCGTACCCTGTACACCTGCAGGAACAGTACTCTGCAACCGCCCTGACACAAATAGTATTGTAGGCGCCGATATTTTCCTCTACAATATTATGGGCGCCATTAACTCCCATACGGTAAGGCCCCCACACGCCTCTGGGCATCGACAGTGTTGTGGGCGCCGGCATTTACTGTACCAGGTGAACATGGTGAAACTCCTCACATGCCTCTGGGCATCAACAGTATGGCAGGTACCGACATCTGCCATACCCGAACAAAACGACGCGGCCTCTCACGTGCGTCCGACATCCAACATTGTTGTGGGCTCCAACCATCATCCTATACCTACCAGCGTGGGCAACAAGGTTTAGAAGCATACATACTCTCTCCCTCTCACTTGTAAGGCCATCCCCTTTATCTATAAAAGGGGATGCACTCTCTCCTAAGAAAAGAAGTTGATTCAAGTTCATCCAAGTAATTCCAGATTCATTAGATCGATCAAGATCACTAGCTCACAACCACAGAACCGCCAGGTTCGGACCTCAAGCACACGCTTGAACACTTAGCTCATAGCGGAGCTCCTGTCGCTCTCGACCCTTCCGACCGGAGCCAACCGGACCTCTTGTACATCCCATCTTTCTCCTTCTCGTTTGTAACCCCGCTGCAAACTTCGAGCACCTGGGCTCGGGAATAAAGTCACCGATCGACTCAAACTGGACGTAGGGCACGTTGCCTGAACCAGTATAAACCCTGTGTCATTGAGTGTTAGGCCACCTCTGATCACAACGTACGGCAAAACTACAAATATTTACTTGTTGGTCATTTTCTGCACTGACACTTTGGATCGAAGCAAATATTCTCTCACATATCCTAATCTATTTTCTTTTATGGTAATTGAATTGGAGTAGACAACATAAGGATGCAGATCTAACTTTTTTTTATTGTCCAAAATGGTACCAAGATGAAGCAAAATGGGATCCAAGACGGATTTAAATAGTCAAGTAATATGTACATACTTATAGAGTATTATATGTTTATCAAGAACTATTAATAATTTAGTAAAGTGGCAATGGCAACTAGTACACAAAATCTTGCATTAAGGTCTATTTTGTGTTTATCATACCGACACAATTAGCACATACCAGGGTATACACACTCACAACTGATAAGTTATTAGCCAACAAGTTTTCAATTCATGTTTTAGCGCATAAAATAACCACATTAAAAAATGAGATATCTCAACTAGCAAGAAGCTTTCATGAATTCTTTTGGTTTTTAGTCTAGGCAATCGGATATCCTACTTCAAACATTTGATTATCCACATAAAATTTGAGGACAATACATATCCACCGGATTTTACCAATTTTATATCATATCCTGCATTTGCATACAACATATATAGATGAAGAGAATTGTAAGCCTCATTATATACACTAGAGATATGTATATACCTACTACGGAGTATATACACTATTTTTGCTACAAATTATTGGGCATTTCCATTTCCCAGGAATGCATCAACCGTAGATCAGCCAGCTCCTGTTTTTGGCAGGCGGCGATCGTGGCGGCCGCCGAACTGTCGTCTCTCGTCAGTCAGTGCAAACACGCGACGTGACTAACGCCGAGCTGGCGCACCGTCGGGATCGGAGACACCTGTACGCCAGCTGGACGGCCGACGGATGTGGGAGTAGTACGTGCGGCCAAGCATCCGACGGCCAGGCGTCGAGTCTGCTACCTGTACTGTACTACGCAGTACTCGTACGCATGCACCGCATCCTGCTCCAGGCGTGTATGCTGCCCCTGGGCCCTGGCAGAGCAGAGACAAGCAACTGCAGATTCCAGACTCCAGGTGGGATCAGCGACAGCATGAGATGCTGCTGCCAGATCGGCGAAGAAGGTTCCATGAGCTGGTTCTGCAGGCTGCAGTCGGCACTCCTTCTAGCTCTGGCTCTGACTCCGAGTGCCCAGTGTCCACACGAGTACTCTGTGCTCCTCCACGACGAGTGACACAGGCGGGCCGCCCACCCGCCGCCGTGCACTTCTGCTGGGCCCCGCCCCGCATGCCAGATCTGCCGTACACTGTTCCAGCGACCAAGCCTGTAGCACCAGCCCCCGGCCAGTCCAGCCCTCAACAGCAGTCACTCACTCATTCTGCCTCTTCCTTATCGTCAGAGCCCAGCCGAGCGAGCGAGCAGCCACCCAGCAAGGAGCAGAAGGCCCTCAGCGCGCGAGGGCGGGCGGGAGCCATCCATACCCATACCCATACGCCATATTCCCATCGCGCTCGCGATGGACGACGACGACGACTTCACCTTCCCCACCGTTGCCGCCGCCGCCGCGCGGGGGACAACGGCGCCAGAAAGGCAGCTCGTCCGCGACGACGACACGGCGGTGCCGCACCTGCTCCAGCTCCCTGCGCTTCCCAACCTCGCCGCGGCCTCCCCTCTGTGGCCGTTCACGGGCTCCGTTCCCAAGACGACGACGACCACGGCGCCGCCGTCGTCCCCGACCGTGACGGCGGACGACGAACAAGAGCGCAGCGCCGTGGCAGAGGAGGAGGACCATCGTGTCGCCGCTGACGAGGACAGGATGGATCGGCTATGGGAAGCTACAATCACCACCACCACCAGCACCAGGTCCATCGCGACAGCGCCGGCGCCGGAGTCAAGGAGCGTCGCCGGCCACGCGGGGCAGCCGCCGCCACCGAAGCAGCGCGCCGCGGCGGCCGCTGACGTGGACGACGACAAGCAGCGCGCCGCGGCGCTGGCCGACGCGGAGCGGATGGACAAGCTGTGGGAGAGCTTCAACGAGGACCTCGTCCTGCGGCACCGGGACCGAGGCCGCCGCTCCAAGTCCGCCGCCGGCATCAACATCAAGGTGTCGCGAGCAGCAGCGGGAGGTCCGGACGACGACCCGGCCGACGACGACCGCTGGTACCTCTGCAACTACTCGCCGCCGTCGTCGGGCGCCGCCGACGACGAGTCGTCCGACCAGGAGACGTCGGCGTCGTCCCCCGCGGAGCAGCGGCGCGGGTACGGGTGCGCGCCCACGATGCTGCGCGCGTCGTCGCGCGCCGGCGGGGCGGGCCAGTTCTGCGGCGCCGCCCGCCGCAGACGGCGCGGCCACGGGGCGGCGGCCGGGTGGGCCCTCCTGCTCAGGCTGTTCCGGAGGCTCTTCGCCGTCGACAAGACGGCGCCGTCGTCGTCCCGCAGCCACAGCAGCCTCTACGTGCCATGATCAGGACCGCTCACTTGATTTCCTGCTAGTCTCCACTGATTTGCAGATTTTTTACGTACGTACGGCAATTACAGTTCCTTGTTTTTGTTTCGTCAACAACAAAACCTAGCTAGACGAATGGTTAGTTAACAAAAGTGTCTGTACTACCTGTTCGGCTGTTCCTCTCCATGAACAAGAACAGAGTAGGGTTTAGTAAATTTCTACAGTGAATCTGATGCATGTATTTGTATCTTTTGATGAGGTGCTGGCATGGCATATTGGCATGTCACATGTGTGAGAGCGCGTGAGCAGATCCGTGCAAACTGTAGATAAGATGTGTGTGGTGATTAAAGGGAAAGACAGCATTGCTAATTATTTGTCAAGATAGTATAGTACAAAACAAAGCGGCAGCTACCACCAGCATTGTTATGTGGCAATGATAAACAAAGTGCCTCCTTTAATTTTGTCTGAATATAATGCACAACACAAGTAGTGGTAGCTCAACTAAGGAGCGAGAAAGAAGCTGTGTCAGTGTGTGTGATGAATGAATGATTCTCATGCACTAGCACTAGAGTGGGAAAGAGGAGGCCAATGGCCGGAGGACAGCGACAGCCAACGACCGGCGTGATTGCGACGGCGGAGCTGTAGGTACGTTTAATTCTACGGCGCCAGCGGCCAGCCAAGCCAGCCGCCAGCCGCCAGCGCAACGCAAGCCTGCCTGTGAATGATTTCGCCATCACCAAGCGCAAGCGGTGGCCCGCCGGCGACGGCAGCAGTACAGCACGCAGCAGAGCCATGCCCATCAGTGCGTGTTCATTAGTGGGATTATTTTCTGACGGAGCACTTTGCCGCCGCCAGTCAAAGTGCTGCTACATGGAAGCACGGAAGATTGGAAGAAGCTACCTCAGTCTATTCGATTGGTCGTGGCTTGTCGTAAACGATTGTAAATTTTCCATTCGGAACAGTATTTTTCTCTCACATAAACCAGCCAGCAGTACTTTTTCACGAACCAGCAACGAAACGAACCAGCCAACCGAACAGGCTAGAGCAATGCTGCATTTGTTGCAACAGTCCAGCTCCAGTAGAAGTAGTAGAATAGATTTTTTTTTTGAAACAGAAGTAGTAGAATAGATAGCGTATAGATAGTAGGCATTCGAGGAAATTCTAGCAGGCCTTACAGTTTGCTACTACTAGCATAGTACGTATATACCTTGCAATCCCTGCCATTCGTCGTTTTGATTTTTCCCAAATGTCAACAGTGTTACTGTCCAGAATTTTCGCATAAGGCATAAGACATGTCTATCAAGAATCTTGTTTCAGAAACCCTCATCTAGATCAAATGGTGCGTCTGGGCCAAAACGCATGGGCCACACCATGTGATTCTTGTCCAGAAATGATGCTAGGAGAGTGCACCTGAGCATACCATTTACTCACGAGAAGACCCGAGAGCTAAGCATTTCCCGGGTGTAGATTCAGAGTGCATCACTGTCACGGACGCCGTACTGATAACAGGGGACCAGAGGAGTCAGAAAGGTACAGCACTACGGCAGTAGCTGAGATCTCAACAATCTGGTCGAGTCCAGCGGAGCCTGCTCGTTTCGTAGTAAACGATCGTGAATTATTTATTGCTGACTGGTTTGGTGTGAGAGAAAAATACTATTTTAATTTATAATCTACGATCGTATACGAGCAAGCGAACAGGCTCGAATTGCTCACCGATTCAGACAATTCAGTATCCTCTCAAGTCTCAACAAACGAGCTCACCTTTGGAATTTTTCACTTTTTCAGGACCTTTTAATTTGAGTCTGGCAGAGGCTGATTGAAAAAGGTCCACCTGACTTCATAAATCGGACCGAAGTAATGTACTGACGCTACGACATCAAAATTTTAGCAAAAGATACAAAGAACCAGTGGGTACATCTCGTGTTCCTGCAATTCTGAAACTTGTGAACTGTGTGTCCTGAAACTGCCGTGTGCTGCGGCTCATTACTTGAGACGCCTAGCTCCAGCTTTAAACAGGGACATTGCTGGTGAAAAGCTCCTCAGTCTCCCCTATTAAACACATGCATTTTACATTTTAGGCTTCGATTAGTTGGGTATCAAGGGAAGCACTGCAAAATACAGGGGCTTCCAGATGTAGGATCTTGAGCGATACGCACCTTGGTAATACTTCATCTTTAACAGACTCTGATGATGCTGTTCCTTCATCCTCCACGGCAACACTTTCAACTACACCATCCACTACAGCGGCTTCACCTGGTGTGGAGCCTTTGTTCTTTTTTATGAAATCAATGATGTCCGCAGCTGAAGGGCGGGCCTGGTGCAAGCGGTAGAGTTTTACCGCCTGTGACCGGAAGGTCCCGGTTTCGACTCGCGGTCTCCTCGCATTGCACAGGCGAGGGTAAGGCTTGCCACTAACATCCTTCTTCAGACCCTGCACAGAACGGGAGCTTTCTGCACTTGGTATGCCCAATGATGTCCGCAGCTGTCCTCCCGCCTTCATATGAAAGGAGGTTTCCAGCAGACGAGTAGAAATACATGGTTGGATAGCCCTCAACTGCGAAATCCGATGGTATGTCGTTGGTGGTGCCATCCTGCGGAGGCAAAGAGATTTAGGTCGATGAATATACCCAAGCAAAACAAATATCAACCTGAGCTTCAGGCATGGAATTAGTTTTGAAAATGGCAAAAGGATCCTGTGATCTTCGGCAGTATTGTCTTAAGGTTCTAGATCCTAAAATGAAATCTAAGATTTACGGTTTCTTAAGTTCATTCTTAATAATATATCTTCTTATTGTTCTACAGGCTACAGCTGAATTGCAAAATAGCTGCACAAGAAGCACTATAAAGCATGCTCATTGTAAATATATATGAAATGGAAGCAAAGCAATGAAGAAAACACGATCAAATCAGCATCTAGCAATGATCACATCTTCATCTTCTCCAAAGAAACTGCAACTTCATCCAAGACTGGGGCCAGCTTCTGACAATGGCCACACCATGGCGCATAACTCAAGCAGCACTACAGAAAAATATACCAATTACGGATAGCATCCCTTATTAGTAAAAGACTTGACTATGCAAACAACAACTTCCTTATGAAACCAGTTGTAAAGAACAAACCATTTTTTCCAGAGTTGAAACCGCATCATTAAGACTATTGGCAACAACAACCTTAACCGGTGGATCTTTAACCGCTGGAATCGGATCTGACTTAATGTGTGGCAATAAGGTACCATCCTACATGAACAAAAATCCAAAGACAGGTTAAGAGAAATTGAAAATAAGGTACCATCCTACATGAACAAAAAGCCAAAGACAGGTTAAGAGAAACTAAAAAATAAGGTGCCATCCTACATGAACAAACCTCCGTAGAATTATGGGGAAAAAATGACTTCAAGCCAATACAAGATCACTTAATAAGAATATGGATGCATGGTAAACAGAAGATAAGGGATGTCGCATCAAAATAGGCCTTACTGTGTACTCTTTCAACCAGGGTAAGATTTGATCAGGCTCCACAGTTGGTTTGATATATCTTGCAGAAGATGCTTGTTTGAAGAGGAGGGGCACTTCACTTTCTTTCAGCCCAAAATACTGCATGGTTTCCACTAGAAAGTGATTAGATGAAAACCGTAGGAACTAAAAAGCCTCAAGGCAAAATAGTGCAAGTTTCTAAAGGAAACCAGGAAAGCACCCTGTGTGTCCGTAACATCACCTTCTTGCTCAGGTGACACTCTTAAAACACATGAATGGTCTAACATTTAGTTTCAACCTCTCCAATAGCAAAATGTTTCTGAAATCACCCCGTGCTGATTTCTTTCATCTGCGTTTTTTCAGAAATCACCCCGTGCTGGTTTATTTCATCCGCGTTTTTTTCAATAATGTTCGGCTGATTGTTTTTTCGGCTGATAAACCGACTCATGCTGTTTTGTTATGAGAGAAAAACACTGTACCATGTCTGATAAGCCGGGGATTGTAATTGTGAAAAATCTTCGCTTGAACTTATTAGCCCGGCTTATCAGCCATGGTATATTGTTTTTCTCACAACAAAACAACATCAACCGACTTATCAGCCGCAAAAACCATCAGCCGAACAACTCTTCCAACTTACTTTGATACCATCATCCTCGAAGTATTGCAGGAGATATTTGTGGTTAATTGGATTACTGTTAAAAGCAACTACAGTTGAGAAACCTGAAACTTCAACGAATTTAGGCAGTGTATCTTTGTCAAAACGGTAATGCTAGGAATCAGACGTCTGTCCGCGACTCAGCGTCGGACGCTCCTGTTGGTGGACCTGACGCCAAAAGGCTACCTATCCTATCTGTTCCTATCCGCTCCCTCTGCTCCCCTCCAGTCACCGCAGATTAAAAAAAACTCACACATCATCGTTACTGCGCTCCGTTGTGCCTCCCGCACGCCTTCCTCTCCACCGCGCCTCTTGCCGGCCTTCCTTTCCACCACCACTGCGCCCGCACCGCCGCGGCGTGCTCCCCCACGCCCGGACAGCCGCGCCGCCTCGTCGTGCGAGGTCGCACCTACCCGACTATTGTTGTTGGCTTCACCGCGGGCACCGCTCGCCGAGGGCACCACATGCACCCCTGTCGTTCGGGGCAGCACCGCCGCTCACCGGGGGCCGCGCAGCCACGCGCTCACTGTCATCCTCCTCCTCCACCATCGCACAATCGTATCCCGCTATGCAGTGCTCCACCCACCCGGCTGCCAGGTTTTGCTGAAAGTACATGTTGCAAGCGTATGTTTCAAGTGTTTTAGATATTTTCAGTGGTATGTTGCAAGTGTCTCAGATGCATGTTGCAAAAATCGGTCAGGATGTTACATATGTTGCAATGGTTGTACACGTATGTTGCCAAAGTCTGTTACCATGTTTCATCTGTTTTTTCGACGTTTGTTGCAAGTGTATTTATCTGGATGTTGCATGTGTTTTATCTGAATGTTGTGTATGTTTGTAGAGGTTTTCAAGTGTTTTCAGGTGTTTTTTTAAGTGTTTCAGAAGCATG